GGTGTGACCGTACACATCCGTAACTGAAGGACTCAGGAGGCTAAGGCAGGGCATCAAAGGAGCTGAAATTCAGCCTGGGCTATATAGTAAGATCCTGTCTTAAAAACAAAAACAAGCTGGGGGTGGTCTCGAGCACATTTAATTTCAGCAGTTGGGAGGCAGAGGCAGGTGGATCTCTGAGTTCAAGGCTGGCCTCAAACTTATAAGAGTTCTAGAACAGCCATGACCACATAGAGAAATCCTGTTTCAAAACCGCCCATCCCCCCAAAAAAGAACAAAAGAATGTCTTATACACTGCATGGCCTGCTCCACCTCCAAGACTGGTCCCTGTACTCTAAGTGCATTCAAATATGAGATGCTTGAGACAGACACCCAAAACAACCAACCCGGCAGCACTAGGTTTTCTAGCTGAGGCAAGCAGATAGGAGACAATGATAGTTACAGTGTTCAGTTGTTTACAGGGAACAACTATTGACTCTCCACAAAGCACAATCCCAACACAAAGACCAGAGCCACAATAATTTCTCAAAAGGGAACAAATTTTAAGGTCATGGTCCCCTGACTAAGACAAGAAGTATCACAGCACATAGAGACCACATTCAGCTCAGAAGAAAAACCATCTCAGATAAGTCTTATAGCCCAAGGAATTAACATTTTTTCCCCTGAAGTCTAGATTAGACTTATTTCCTGCAATTCCCCTATAAATCAGTGTTATTTGTTTTCATCCCTACATTTAGTAAGGGAATTATTAAGATAAATTAGAACTCTAATTTTGCATTAATTTACTTGAAGCTTTGCATCAATTTACTTATCATTTTTTTTATTGTTTGTTTCCAGTTTTGTTTGTTTGTTGGTTTGTTTGGTTTTTGACACAAGGTCTCATTACCCAGGCTGGCCTTCAACTTGTTATATGCTGAGACTGACCTTGAACTTCCGATTCTTGGGCCTGTGCCTCCCAAACGCTAAGATTATAGGCTTGTGCCACCGTGCCTCACTACTACACCATTTCTTAAAACTCTTATAATGTATGTATCTATACATTCACAAAAGTGGAGAACACCAGCTCTGTGAATCAGCTACCACGACTGAGTGAGGTCAAACAGATAACCAGCAGTTTTCACCTATGAACTAACATACTTCTCCTGCATGTTCAACCTATGATCACTCTCAAATATAACTCCACTTCACAGATAAATCACATGAACTGTCAGCATTTACTTTCCGGTTACTTAGTTAGGTGTCTTTGTGTATATTATATCCTAACAACCTAAGTTCCATCAAGGAGTTTACACATGAGAATGGGAACACGTCACACCAAGTGTGTGGGTTTCAAGATCAATTTTGAGTGAGATACATGGTAAATTTGGGGATACTTAAGAAACCCTGTAGATTCTAACTCATCTATCTTGTCAATCTAGCCCCTCCTCTTAAAATTTTGATTTCATTTTATTTTATTTAATGTGTGTGTATATGTGTGTGGGCACATGCATGCCACAGACAGCATATGTGGAGGCCAGAGGACAACCTGCAGGAGTTGGTTCTCTTCTTACATCATGTGAGACTTAGGGATCAAACTCACAGATCCTCAGGCTTGGTGGCAGGTGTCTGAACCATCTCAGCAGCCCTAGGCTGTCTTCATGGTGACCACTTGGGTTGTATTTTAAAACTTCTCACAGTGATTTCTGGAGCCCTCTCAAATGTTCCAAAAATATCTCCTGGTCATGTTACAATTCTAGAATGACTCATCACCACTTCAGAACAAAGTCAACACCTTGGTTAACTCCAGGTCTGTCAGTCATTCCCCACCCCCCATCTCATACCCACTGTCTGTCCCCATCACACTGCTGTTCTGCGCTTGTCCCTTCCTCTGCCAATCTCCGACTTCTTCCTACTGTGTCTGTAAAACCCAGGTGTGCCCAAAATCCACTGGGACACTTTCCGTGATGCTTTACACCACTGTGGCTTAGGGTGCCCCTCACACCGCTCTGGGTTCTCTTGACGGATATTTCCAGAAATTTAAGAACACACACTTAAGCCGGGCGGTGGTGGCGCACGCCTTTAATCCCAGCACTCGGGAGGCAGAGCCAGGAGGATCTCTGTGAGTTCGAGGCCAGCCTGGGCTACCAAGTGAGTCCCAGGAAAGGCGCAAAGCTACACAGAGAAACCCTGTCTCGAAAAAAAAAAAAAAAAAAAAAAAAAAAAAAAGAACACACACTTATTGTTACTGCTTCCCCACTCCCCACCCAAGGACAAAGCGGAGTGGTGGCTGGCAGAAAATAGACATAAGCTGGCTGGAGAGATGGCTCAGCGGTTAAGAGCACTGACTGCTCTTCCAGAGATCCTGAGTTCAATTCCCAGCAACCACATGGTGGCTCACAACTATCTGTAACGAGATCTGGTGCCCTCTTCTGGCCTGTAGTCATACATGCTGTATACATAATAAATAAATAAATCTTTAAAAAAAATAGACATAAGCAGGCACATGTCTGAATAAATGTCTAATCCTTAGGATGATCATCAGCCTCTCTCGGGAGAGTCACTTACTAACGTGTGTGTCCATGAATCATTTTTTAAAAAAAGAAATCTATAGCTTGCAGGATCAGGTGACTTTAAATGCCAACTATAAACATAGGATGTCACTCAGATGTGACAGCACCTGTACCTTCTTTCTACCACTATGACCGTGCTTTTCTCTAGTAAGGCCACTCCAATTTTCTTTATTCCTTTCTTTTTTTTTTCTTTTTTTCCTTTTTTTGGTTTTTCGAGACAGAGTTTCTCTGTATAGCTTTGGAGACTGTCCTGGAACTCACTCACTCTGTAGCCCAGGTTGGCCTCAAACTCACAGAGATTCTCCTGCCTCTGCCTCCCCAGTGCTGGGATTAAAGGCGTGCACCACCACGGCCCAGAGACCACTTCCATTTTCTACAGGGAAATCTGTTTTCCCAAGTGCTCAACATCATCCTGAGGGCTGGACACTTCCTTTCCTCAGAAAAGCCCCATTCCGAGACCAACTGACTGTCATTCTCACAGACATTAAAGCTCATGTGAACGTTAGGTGTAGAATGGGTGTGGGTAGTAGCATGGTTTTAAAATATAATCACAAGGGACTAGAGGGTTGGCTCAGAGGATAAGAGCATTTGCTGCTCTTGCAGAAGCCCCAGATTCAATCCCCAGCACCCACATGGCGGTTCACAAACATCTGTAACTCCACTTCTGGAGAATCCAACATCCTCTTCTGACCTCCACAGGCACCAAGCATGCTCATGGTGCACAAACACACATGCAGGCAAAACAGTCATACACATAAAATTAATTCTAAAAAAAAACAAACATCTTCACAACCTGGACATGGTCGTGCATTTCTGAAGCCCTCTTATTTAAAAGAGCAAAGAGGCGCAGCACAAGTTTGAGGTCAGCCTGGTCGACATCATGAGTTCCAGGCCAGCCAGGAATACAAAGCAAAACTTGTCTCAAAAAACTCCATTCCCAAAAAAGAGTTGGGGAGCTGGGGTGACAGATCATACAGTGGGGTTCTGGAGGACTGGAGACAAGGGGATCCTGGAACCCATATGGTAGAGGGGGAGAGCCTACTCCTCCAAGCTGTATTTGCTGACACAGGTACATACACCTGCACACGCACTTGCATGCACACACACAAAGTTCACAGACTCTTTGCTGTGCCTACTCCCTTGCACTTAGTAATACAAAAGGAATGTGGAGGGGGTGTTAGACTTCCAAAACTGGGTCATAAAAAGTACAGTGGCTTCTATCACCCCACTTCCCTTACAGAGAACCCCGATGAGGGAGGACAGCTACCAACAGAAAACAAGAAAGATTCAGGAGGCATCAAGGACTTCTGACACTCGTCTTTGGAGTTAGCTATTTTGGATTTAGATCCCCCAACCTAGTGAGAGGCACTGGGCCATCATCACCTAGGTGGACTACACCTGATTTCCATCCCACAGAAAGTGCTGAAATCACAAAGGTTGTTTTATTTTGTTCATTTATTTGGAGAAGACCTCATATTGTAGCCCAGGCTGACCTCAAACTCAGAATTCTTCTGTCTCAGCTTGAGCTCCTGGATTACAAGTATGCACCACCACACCTAGCATAAACACTGATTTTTGGTTTTGTGGGTTTTGTTTTGTGTGTGTGTGTGTGTGTGTGTGTGTGTTTGTGTTTTGTTTTGTTTTGTTTTTTCAAGACAGGGTTTCTCTGTGTAGCTTAGCAGCCTGTCCTGGAACTCACTCTGTAGCTCAGGCTGGCCTCGAACTCACAGAGATCCACCTGCCTCTGCCTCCCCAGTGCTGGGATTAAAGGCTACCACCACCAGGAGCCTTTTTTAATCCATTAAATTTTGTGTTTCTTTGTTACAAAGCAACATTGCCTCAATGGAAGGAGGAGTAAGAAAAATGCCACTACAGAAGAAACCACAGTCCAGCACTTGAGAGGCCGAGGCAGGAAGACTGCTGCCAGTTCAAGGCATCAGGAGAAGGCGGTGATCGCATTGAAAGAACAAACAGCGGAGAGAAGAGCTGTGAGGGTGGAGGAGGAAGACATCCCCATCACCACTCATGACCATACCCACCTCACCTGCCTTGGCCCTGAACTTGAAGAATATGAACTGAGTATCACTGATGTTTCATTTGCGGGGCCCAAAGAGCCCAGGTGAGAGCGACAGAATTTAAGAAACTGCACAAGATTAGCAGATGTCCACTTGAGCCCAGGATCCCTCGGGTAGGTCACCCCCTGTCGCTCTGGGTCAGCACTTGCGCCCTCCAGGGAACAGACATGGATAAGCACAGATTTGCTTTGGCGAGTTCGGCGCGCTCGAGGGTGCCAGGCCCCAGGAATGACCCTGCTACTCTGGGACCTCAGGCCGGGCCAATCCAAGCTGTGCTCCGCTCTCCAGGTGGCCGGACCCGCTCCAAGCCCCCACCAGCTTCTGGTGATCAAACGCAGGGGGCTTCGGCCCGAGCGAGGTCGCGCGTGAGAGTTACCTAGTTAGCTCCTGACCTGCTCTCAGACGCGTCGGCGAGATCCTGCTCCTCAGCAAGTGGTCCAGGAGGATTGCCAAGGCTGGCTCAACTGCGGTCGCTGGAGTCCGGAATCCACATTCCCAAGGTGCCGGGGTGGAGAGCGACAGAGTAGGAGAACAGACTGCGCCGGACAGTAGCGCCCCTCCCCGGCCCGCCCGGGCCCGCCCCGGCCTGGAGGGCAGAGTGCCACGCCCCCACAGAGCCCGCCCTAGACCTGCCCTGCAGCAGGCCCCGCCCCAAAGAGGCTGGTGGCCCCTCCTTGGTCCCGCCCCGCTAGCGCTGTGCGTCACTTCCTGTCGGCGGAAGGGACGTACCAAAGCGACCTGAGTCAATTGCTTAGCAACGCTAATGCCGCGTCCGGTGTTCCTCTTTTCCAGCAAAGAGCCGGCTAGTACAGGAGCCGAGCATTTTGGTATGGCAATGCTGTGATAGCCTGGACCTCATGTTGCAATACTGACCCCAGAAAACTGTGAAGGGAGGCATCAGCCACCTGAACCAGCAGGAGAAACTCTCTAAGGTTTCTTTTTTCTAGACTGCATATCATTCCATGCACTTGCTGTCCACGCAATTTTCTTCCCTTTACGCACACGCACTCACTCACAGACACGGAGTGAAGGTCAGAGGACAATTTTGCATAGTTGGTTCTCTTCTGCCTTTATGTGGGTTCTTGGGATCAAACTTAGGTTACAAGGCTTGCACAATGGCGTGGCAAGGACCTTTACCCACTGAGTCTTCTCACCAGATCTCTTGTTTTTGAGACAGGGTCTGATAGAGCTCAGGCTGGCCTTGAACTTTAAAATCCTTATTCTGAACTATACCTCCCGAGTAATGCGATTACAGGCATGTGCCATTACAATGGTTTTATGCAGTGCTGTAATCTAACCCAGGGCTTTGTATTTGGTAGGTGTGCACTCTGCCAATTCAGGTATAACCCTAGCTTCTGTTTGTTCTTTTTTTTTTTTTTTTGAAGGTGGGGTTCTCATTTACTCAGATTGGCCTTGCTTTTTTTATTTTATTATTTATTTATTTATTTTGAGACAAGGTTTTTCTCTGTAGCTTGGGCTGACCTAGAACTTGCTTCATAGACCAGGCTGGCCTCGAACTCAGAGGTCTGCCTACTTCTGCCTCCTGAATGCTGGGATTAAAAGCGTGCGCCACCACTGCCTGACTGGCCTTGCATTTTTTTATATGTATCTAAGGCTAGCCTTGAATTCCTGGTTTTCCTGCCTCCATCTTTCATTTGCTGGGATTACAGGGTGGCAACACTACAGTTACTGATTTGGGGGGTCGGGTACTGGGAGCTAAACCCATATCCCAGTGCATGTTAGACAAAAATATTCTGTCACTGAGCTATATCCCCAGCCCTCGATACACTTAAAATTGTTAATCTGCTTATTGTTGATGGTGCAGCCTCATTCCGACTATAGATAATTGTTTGGATGAGGGAGAGCTGTCTTGCCAGAGTTTGCTCCTCCTAGGATCTGTTCAAGTAGAAAGGTTTAGGATAATGATTAATATGTGCTTTCAGTTAATGTAAGGAGATAGACAGACATAAAAGGAAGGCAAAATACTAGGCTCTTATTCTACTTTTTTATTTACCCTGTGGGCCTAAGTGAGGAGTCAAAACATTTTAGCAAAAACAGCTGATACAGGCTTGTTGCAGTATGTACCTAAGTGTCACTGTTCCTAAGTATCTTGCTGCTCAAATTTATCAAAAAGTTTGTTTAGTTGTTTGATTTTATTCTTTTTTTAAACACACACACACACACACACACACACACACACACACACACACACACACACACACACGTGTTCTGCCTGTGTGTTTGCCTGCAGGCCACAAGAGGGCACCAGATTTTTTTACGGATGGCTGTGAGCCACCATATGGTTCCTGGGATCCTGGGAATTGAACTCAGGACCTCTGGAAGAGCAGCCAGTACTCTTAAAGGCTGAGCCATCTTTCCAGTCCTTATTCTTATTTTTAAAATATTTTATTCTTGGTTTTGTGTATGTCAGGGGCGGGTATATGTATGTGACTGCAGGTGCCTCTGAGACCCAGTGAGGGTGTCAAATTTCTTGGAGCTACGGTTACAGGAAGTTGTGAGCTGCTGGACATGGGTTCTGGGAACTAAACTCTGGTCCTCTGCAAGAGCAGTAGCTCTCTTTACCATGTCTTCATCCTCTTGTTTGGTTTTGAAACTGACTGGTGATTCACCAACACAAAGACATGGCTCTTGCCTGGAAGGGGATAAGAGGTGGTTTATTCTTGAGTCAAATATGCAAGTGACCATGGCACAAGAATCAGTTACCTTATTGTTGTTTTTGTCTTTTTTGTTATTTTGTCTTTTTTTTTTTTTTTCAGAGCTGAGGACCGAACCCAGGGCCTTGCGCTTGCTAGGCAAGTGCTCTACCACTGAGCTAAATCCCCAACCCCAAGAACCTAGAATCAGGTTGCTCCCTGTCTTAGTTAGGGTTCTATTGCTGTGAAGAGACCCATGAACACAGCAGCTCTTATAAATGAAAACATTTAATTGGGACTGTGTGAGAGCTAAAATTACATTTTAAGTTTTAATTAGTATGCCTTAGAGATCCATGAAACAAAAAAATGCCTCTGATCTATAAGCCCCTTGCCCAAGGACAGATAGTTCCTGAAATGCTGGAGGCTAACGTTTATGGGAGATAACAAGCCACATGTTTTCACTCCCTTTGTTTGACTCATCTGCACCAGATGTGCTTGATCACATGTGGGCAGGAGGTTCACAGGCAGGAAAAGGCCAGGATTATGCTTGCCCCTGACAGGAAATACTTAAGCCTCTGCAAAACTTGTTTCGGGGCCATCTTCTGGAAACCCAGAGATGGACCTGGCCAGAGACCTTCCATCTGGCCAGTATTTAATATAAGCTTGCTTCAAATTTGACTTTAAATTGGGGTAGTAGTCTTATTCTCAACCAGTGGGATTAAAAGCTGGTTTACATTTCAGAGGTTTTTTTTTTTTTTTTTTTGAGACAGGGTTTCTCTGTGTAGCTTTGCGCCTTTCCTGGGACTCACTTGGTGGTAGCCCAGGCTGGCCTCGAACTCACAGAGATCCGCCTGGCTCTGCCTCCCGAGTGCTGGGATTAAAGTCGTGCGCCACCACCGCCCGGCTTAGAGGTTTAACCCATTATCATCGTGGTGGAGAGCATGGCAATGTGCAGGCAGACATGGGGCTAGAGACATAGCTGAGACTTCTACATTTGGACTTGCAGGCAGCAAAAAGAGCAAGTAAGACGTCGTCCTGGCTTGAGCATCTGAGACCTTAAAGCCTGCCCCCCAGTGACATACTTCTTCCAACAACACCTCACCTATTATTTGTTTTTCTTTTTGGACAGGGTTTCTCTACATAACTCCGGCTGTACTGGAACTCACTCTGTAGACCAGACTGGCCTTGAATTCACAGATGTAGTTGGAATTTTCTTTGAGCTGCCAACCAGCTTCCAAATAAAGACACAGAGACTTATTATTAATTATGAATGCTTGGCCTTAGCTTAGGCTTGTCCCCTAGCTCTTTTAACTTAATTTAACCTGTTTCTATTCATCTACGTATTTCTCTTGGGGCTTTTTACCTTTCTTTCCTTCTATATGTCCTACTTTCCTGCTTCCTCCGTGTCTGTCTCTTTGGCCCCTGGTGTCTCCCTGGCCTCTTTTTCTTTTTTCTTTCAAGTCTAAATTCCTCCTACTTACTCTCCCTGCCTGGAAGTCTCACCACACCTCCTCCCTCACTATTGGCTGGTCAGCTTTTTATTAGACCAATCAGGTGCCTTAGGCAGGCAAGGTAAAACAGCAACACATCTTTACATAGTTAAACAAATGCAACACATCTTTACATAGTTAAACAAGTATTTCCCAACACAGAGATCTGCCTGCTTCTGCCCCCTGCATGCTGGGACTAAAGGCAGGCATGTGACACCATACCTGGCTCATGAAATTTTTATACTTACAGAAAAAAATATAAAACCATAAATTGAGGCATATATGGTTCACTATGTAGCCTTGGTTGGCCTGTGGCCCTGGCTAATCTATAATTCCCTATGTAAGCCAGGCTGGTTTCTAACTCACAGAGACTCATCTATAGGTAAAACTCAGATGTAGGAAATGAATAATACTAAGAGGACTAAAGATAGATAGCTCATGATAATTGGGCTCTAGATCAGCAACATTCTAACACCCCATATTCAGGAAGCTCTTTTTTTTTCTTTTTCCTTCTTTCCTTCCCTCCTTCCTTCCTCCCTCCCTCCCTCCTTCCCTCCCTTCTTCCCTTCTTTCTTTCCTCCTGTCCCTCCTTCCTCCTTTTCTTTCTTTTTAGACAAGGGCACATGTAGGCCAGGCTGGCCTTCAACTCACTGTGTAGCTCAAGATGAACTTGAACTTTTGATTCTCCCAATTACTGTAATAACATGTGAACACCACCCTGCCTGGTTTTATGCTGCACCGGGGATGGAACCCAGGGCACTCTAAGCAAGCAGCACTCTATCAACAAAGCCACATCCTCAGTCCCTCCCTTTTCCCCTTCATACAGTCATAATCAGTGAACCAGCTTTGTAGAATCTTTAGCATAGGTGTGGGCTTTTCCTGGAAACTTCAATTCACATTATCTATCATCTCCTAATGTAAGATCAGACTGGGACATCCTCATTGACAGACCAGAGCACAAAATGATAAATCAGCCATGTCTTTGGAGAAAAAAAAGGTTCACTGAGAGACAAGAGAAGAAATATCACTATCAGAACCGAGCCATTTGTGTCAGCCCTCTCAAAAGCAAGTGAGGAGAGCCAGGGGAAATCATTAACAAGGGAGCTGTAGCTTGGAGAAATGGCTCAGAGGTTAAGAGCACTTGCTGTTCTTGCTCAGGATTCAGTTTTGGTTTCCAGCACCCACATGGCAGCCCGCAAACATATGTAACTCCAGTTACAAAAAGGGAATTGGTGTTGTAGAATAGTATTTTAAGATGTGTTATGTTTGGCCGGGCAGTGGTGGCACACACCTTTAATCCCAGCATGCAGGAGGCAGAGCCAGGCAGATCTCTGGGAGTTCAAGGCCAGCGTGGGTTACAGAGTGAGTTCTAGGACAGGCGCAAAGTGAGATCCAAGACAGGCTCCAAAACTACACACAGAAACCCTGTGTGTGTGGGGTATGTGTTACATTTGATTATGCTGTGGAATATTTGTTTAATGATGCAAAGGTGTGTTACATTCTTTTATGTTGCATTTGTTTAACTCTGTGAAACTGTGTTACTTTGCCTGTGATGGCCAATAGCCAGGCAGGAGAAAGGATAGGCAGGGCTGGCAGGCAGAGAGAATAGGGAGGAAAGAAAAAAGAGCAAGAGATAAAGGAGAAGAGGATGCCAGAGGCCAGCCACCCACACAGCCAGCCATGGAGTAAGAGTGAAAGTAAAATATACAAAAGAAAAGGAAAAAGCCCAGAGACAAAAGGTAAATGGGATAATTAAAAGTTAAGAAAAGGTAACAAGAAACAAGCCAAGCTAAGGTCAGGCATTTATAAATAAAAATAAACCTCCTTGTGTGATTTATTTGGGAGCTTGGAGGGGGGCCTCCCAAAAGAGCGAAAACAACCAACAATTGGAATATATAATAATGCAAATATTGTACTTTTTTTTTTAAATTTTTTTGAGACAGGGTTTCTCTGTGTAGCCCTTGCTGTCCTGGAATTCACTCTGTAGACCTGACTGGCCTCAAACTCACAGTCACAAAAATCCACCTGCCTCTGCCTCCCGAGGACTGGGATTAAAGGTGTGTGCCACTACCACCTGGTCAAATATTGTACTATTATGAGTCTGTGTGAAATGGAAACTCCAACAAACAGAGACCACATAAACATTCAGAAAGAGAGAACTCTTTAATAAACATATGGGTTAGTTCCTCAAAAAGATCTAGTCTCATACTGGAAATTTTTACAGCTTATATAGGGTAAGCAGCATTGTCACAAATTTGTCTACCATACTAGGGTGATCATTTCATTCATATTCCAAAAGAAATCCTTTAGCTTGAACTTTATGAATCCAACCCCTACCTCCTGAGATTATAGACATGAATCACATCACTCAGTTTAGTATATTTTATTTGTTTCCACGAAAGTCTCATTAGAAAATAGAATTTGGGAGCTTAAGAGATGGCTCAGCCGTTAAGAGCATCTGGCTGCTCTTCCGGAGGTCCTGAGTTCAATTCCTAGCAATCACATGGAGGCTCACAATCATCTATCTGTCCTCTTCTGGCCTTCAGGCATACATGCAGACAGAACCCTGTATACATACTAAATAAATAAACTTAAAGGGCCGGGCCTTTAATGCCTTTAATGCCAGCACTCGAGAGGCAGAGCCAGGTGGATCTCTGTGAGTTCCAAGCCAGCCTGGGCTACTGAGTTCCAGGAAAGGCGGAAAGCTACACTGAGAAGCCCTGTCTCAACAAAAACAAAAGAGAAAGGTTTAGGGACCACGGTGAAATCAGGGTCGGAGTTTCAATCTCATCTCTAGGTCAATTTGTGATTCCCCCTACCCCACCCAGCGACTCTGGGTGTCCCAAACTACATTTCCCGGCAGGCCCTGCATCAACGTCGACGAACTTCCTCCCAGCATTCCCCGCGGCGGGAAAGCGCCGAGCGGGCTTCAGGCCGACAGACCACCTTTCGCTGCCGCTGTTCCCCCTGCTGCCGTTGACTTGTGAGGAGCTTCGCGGCCGTCCCCACTGGCCACCATGTCCGCCCAGGCGCAGATGCGGGCCCTGCTGGACCAACTCATGGGCACTGCTCGGGACGGTGAGTCTGAGCGGCCGTCCAGGCGCTGGGCGGGGGCGGGAGCAAGGCGAGGCCGCCTGGCAGCCTGAGGCGAGGGCCGTGACAGTGTGCGCCTGCGCGGGGCGCCATTCCTTTTCCCCCCGCTCGCCGACCCCAGGCGCTGGGCCTTTGTCTGATCCGCTTGGCTTGCGAGGCTGCTGCGGCCGCCGTGTCCTTCTCGTCCGGGCGGTCTCCTCCCTGAGAGTCCGATCCGACTGTGGGGCTTTATCCCCCTCCCATTTTCCGTCATGCGACTTCCTCTTGGTCGGCACCGCGGCTCGGCGCCGCCCGGCATACTGGAGCTTCGGCGAAGGGCTGGAACCAGCGCGGGCTCCTGGGCGCTGGCTGCCGAGTGGCAGGATTCCGCTGATGCTCCTCGGAGGAGAGGCGACCCCCGAGGAGCTGGACGGGTTTCGAAAACTCTTGCTCCGTACGGTTACAAGGGGAGCCGTAAATGAGCATTTCTAACGTGGGTTCCTCCGTGTACTTTCCTAGTCTTCCCACCCTCATTTCCCAGCCTCACAAACCAGCCTTGGTTTAGTCAGCTCTTGGCATTCGTTAGGTAGGTGGTTCTGTAGGGAGGCGTGCAAGATCATGGTGGTGTCTCAGGAGAAACCAGTTGCATCCTAGCAAAGCTAGATAGATCCCTGCTGTGGTTTTGTGTTTTCATTTTTACTAAAGTAATGAAGTTGTAATTTCACACTGGCACATTTCGCAGGGCTGTGCAGATTCTTTGCACCTTATTTCATAGGTCAATAAGTGCTTTTAGCTTTCTTTGTATGTTGAGTTGCTTTTGAATTGCTTCCCATATTTTTATTTCATACAAACTGAACAATTGTGGCCCCTCTATTTTATTTATAAAGGTTCAGTGTATCTTTGCCTGCCTACATCAATCTGCAAGGGAGTTGCAGAAAAGCCTCATGTTCATCGAGCCGTGAGTCACAACCAATTTCTAAGCTGTTATAACAAAAAAGTGTTTGCTTTTTTTCCACAAGTAACTTTAAAAGTGTAGTTTAGAAAGAAAACATTTTCAGTAAAAAGACACTACATTAATCCTGGATGCTTGCAAATCCTGAAATATATTCCTCCTTGACTATTACACAGCACTGTGTCCTATACACAGATTAGCCTTAAAATTTGTCACATACCACTTTGCCTTTACTTTTATGTATCATTCCCCCTGACTTCCTTACTGCAGGTGTGGGCAAGAAAACTTTTCCTTTAAAACTTTTCAACAGCGGGCATAAAATTCTGCAGCTGAGTTCTTGAAGAATGCAGATGGGTACAGTATGTGTTGGAGTTCACAGTGTGTATTGACTAACCTGATTCTTTTTTGCTTTCTTTGGTATTGTCTTGTTAAAAGTGACTCCCAGGTGCCAACTTCCATTTTTAAGGGTGGGGATAAAAGGGGAATAAGAAGAAAAGGTCTAGAGATATTGAACAGTTAGTGATAGAGCCTGAAAGCTTTCTTCTTATTGCAGTTTTTGATAAACCACTGCCTATAATTTGACTACAACAAAAGATTAATAGATAGTTTGCTTGGTGGAAATTACCAGCTCTAAGTCATGTGGTAGATTCATGGCACTCTGATTACATAGGTCTTAGTGTCTCATTGCCCATATGTGTATTTGGGCTGGTGCCTTTTGTTGGTGCTCACTCTTACTTCTAACTCCTTGACTTAATGATGGAGTTAGATGTGATTAAGTGTGCGGCTTCATAAAATACTTAGCTTAAAACAAATCTGTATTCCTTTCCAGTTGTAAATCTCTTTAGATCAGTTTCTTAGTGTATGTGATGGGGAGAATACAGAAATGCTAGTCTGCAAATCATCCAGGTGTATTGTTGTGCCAGGTAGCCTTGTGTAGTTAATGAGATAATACTTTATTTAAAACCACAAATGAATTTCAGGAGATGAAACCAGACAGAGGGTCAAGTTTACAGATGACCGTGTCTGCAAGAGTCACCTTCTGGATTGCTGCCCCCATGACATCCTTGCTGGGACGGTAGGTGCATTCCAGAGTCTTATGGATTACTCAAAGGGGTGGGACAGTAGATGTGAGAATTTTCTTTGCCCCAAGAGTAATACTTTTTAAAATTACATAATAGGGGCTAGAGAGGTAGCTCAGTGGTTAAGAACATTTGTTGCTCTTGTGGAAGACCGGTGTTTGATTCCCAGTACCCACATCTGTAACTCTATTCCAGGAGATCTGACACCCACTTCTGAACTCTTCAGTAACTACATTCATATGCATATACCCATATATAGGCGCATGCTATACATCGTTTTAAAATAGTAAAAATAAACCTTAAAAATTAAATAATTTAATGTTTAAAAACACAACTTTTAGGATTAGAATTGCTGAAACACTCACTTTATCCTGTGTATAACGAATTACATGGCTGGAGAGATAGCTCAGTGGTTAAGAGCACTCACTGGTTGTCTTTCTAGAGGACCCAGGTTCAATTCCTAGGACTCATTCAGCAGTTCACAACTGTCTTAACTCCAGTCCTAGGGGATTTGACACCATCTTGGGGTCTCTTCGAGACCAACCATGTACATAGTAAACAGACACACATGCAGGCAAAATATCCATGTAACATATGTAAAAATAACATAAAAAGAAGGAATGTGAACAATTTACAGGAGGACTGGTGCCCATCTTTTATCTTAAAAAAAAAAGTTCTTGGTGCATGAGCTGGCTTTCTGGAGCCCATTACCTATGGTGGGGAGCCTTGCTCAGCCTTGATGCAGTGGGGAGGGGCTGCCTTAACTGAATGTACCAGGCTTTGCTGACTCCCCGTGGTAACCCATACCTTTTTGGAGGAAGGGTTGAGGCGGGGGAACAGGAGGAGGGATGGGAGGGGAATCGATGGTTGATAACGTAGAATGAGTGGGAAAATTTATTTATTTATTTATTTTGGTTTTTCGAGACAGTTTCTTTGTGTAGCTTTTCGCCTTTCCTGGAACTCCCTTTGGAGACCAGGCTGGCCTCAAACTCACAGAGATCCTCCTGCCTCTGCCTCCCATGTTCTGGGATTAAAGGTGTGCGCCACCACTGCCCATCAGAAAATTTCTTAAATAAAAAAAAAATAGTTGAGTATTTCACACACATACATTGTATTTTAGTCACAATCATCCCTCCACTCCCCCCCCCCCTTTTTTTTTTTTTTGTTTTGTTTTGTTTTTTGGTTTTTCGAGACAGGGTTTCTCTGTGGAGCTTTGCGCCCTGTCCTGGAGCTCGCTCTGTAGCCCAGGCTAGCCTCGAACTCACAGAGATTTGCTTACCTCTGCCTCCCAAGTGCTGGGATTAAAGGCGTGTGCCACCACCACCCGGCTTTTTTGTTTGTTTGTTTGTTTGTTTGTTTGTTTTCAAGACAAGGTTTCACTCTGTGGCCTGGCTGTCCTGAAACTTACTCTGTAGACTAGGCTGGGCTCAAGCACACAGAGATCCATCTTCCTCTGCCTCCCGAGTGCTGGTATTAAAGGCTTGTGCCACTGCTGCCCAGCTCATTCCTCCAGTGTTAGTAGATTTGTTTTTGAGGGTTTCATGGCACACTTGGAGTGGGGGCTGTGGGGGAAGTGAATGTTTTTCAAGTAGAGTTCCATTTTCCTTTAGCATGCAAAATTTTTTGCTCTTCAAATTATAGATTGTTGGTAGAGCTTTTGAGTTATGAAACATTTCAGTAGTATAAAATCTGTAGCAGGTTTTTTTTGAAAATTTGGTTGATCTTGTTTAATTTCAAGTTGGATGTATGTTAGGCTTTTATTCTGGCATGATATATTTTTTTTTCTTTTTTTCTAGCATGATATTTTCATCCATACACATACACACTTAATTTTATTTGTGTGTAGGCCTGAGTACATGTCTACAGAGGGCAGAGAAATGCATTGGATCCTCTGGAATTAAAATTATAAATGGTTATGAATCTTTCTGATATGGGTGCCAGGAAATGAATCCAGGTTTCTGAAAGACCAGCAAATGCTTTTAATTATAGAACCATGTTTTCTTTTTTTGTCAAAGATTTATTTATTTATTTGTTTGTTTATGTGAGTGCTCTATATGCACGTATGTCTTTATGCTAGAAGAGAACATCAAATCCCACTACAGATGATTGTGAGCCTTGTGGTTGCTGGGAACTGAATACAGGACCTCTGGAAGAGCAGCCAGTGCTCTTAACCGCTGAGCCATCTATCTAGGGCCCCCCCCCCCCATTCATGTTTTTAGTCTCTGTTTTTTTTTTTTTTTTTTTTTTTTTTTAAGTTTGTGTGTGTCTGTCTGTCTGTCTGTCTGTTCATATAGGTACCAAGGTGTTTGTGTATAAGTCAGGACAGTTTGGAGGAATGAATAAAAAGATTTATTTATTTATTATGTATACAGTATTCTATCTATATGCCAGAAGAGAGCACAGGATCTAATTATAGATGGTTCTGAGCTGCCATGTGATTTCTGGGAAATGAACTCAGGACCTCTAGAAGAGCAGCTAGTGCTCTTAACCTCTGAGCCATCTCTCCAGCACCTGGAGGGATGATTCTTTCCACACTATTGGATCTGGGGGTTGAACTCAGATTATCAAGTGACTTTTCTTGCTGAGTCTTTACAGCCCCCAGTATAAAATAATTAATTGAGGATTACCTTGATTGCATAGTTTTTCAACTCAAGAAATCTATACTGTCAAATACCTGTAGTCTCTGAACAGTACCAATAAAAATGTTAGTTTTGTAGAATGTGCTTTCATTTTAAATTAAGTAAGACTATAAACAGTGGAGAAAATCATCTGTTATATTTCAGCTACTTAGAGTGAAAAATCTTACAGAGGACCAGTTTAAGGCTTCACAACTATTATGAAGAATGTAAAACCAATCACTGATTATATGACTATATGTGTGCCAAAGAAAACATTTCATGGTGAATCATGGATTAAAAAAATTTGTGTTATTGTATTTATGTATGTATGTGTTCATGCACTCAAGCAGAGGCCAGAGGATAGTGACTGTTGTCCTATTATCACTAGTCACCTAATCCCTTGAGACAGGGTTTTTTTTAGATTAATTTAAATTATGTATACAGTGTTCTGCCTGCATGTGTGCTTATAGGCCAGAAGAGAATACCAGATCTCTCCACGGATGGTTGTAAGCCACCATGTGGTTGCCTGGAATTGAACTCAGGACCTCTGGAAGAGCAGTCAGTGCTCTTAACTGCTGAGCCATCTCTCTAGCCCCAGAGTCTTTTTTTTGAGACAGGATTTCTCCGTGTAGCCCTGGCTGTCCTGGGACGTGCTCTGTAGACCAGGCTAGCCTCCAACTCACAGAGATCTGCCTGCCTCTGCCTCCTGAGTGCTGGGATTAAAAGTGTGCCACACCACTGCCTGGTAAGACAGAGCTTTACTGAGCCTGGAGCTCATTGTACCCAGAGCTTATGGAGTTCTGGCTGTGTGGACAGCCAGTAAAACAGCATCAAATCCTCCTCTACTTTCCCCCAGTGCTGTGGTTACAGATAGATGTTGCTGTGCCTGGATTATTAAATGGGTGATGGGTTCTGAACATTCATGTTTGAGCAGCAAGCATGTGTTCTTACTGACTTAGCCATCTCCCCAGCCAACCCTGCCCACTTTTTGTGTATGAATCAAGGTCATATGCTGACCTCAAAATCACTATACAGTTGAATCTGGGCCTGAACTCCTGATCTTCCTATCTCTCATAGTAATTTTGTTAACATGCCCTCTGACTTGATGCCATAAATTTCAGGGTAAAAATTTCCTGTTGCTATTTAGACCACCAGAGCAGGAGATATCTGCACAGTCCTGTACTCAGGAATTATATATGCATTACAAACTCCAGGATAGTTGCTTTACATGTGCTTAGAATACATAATAATACATTGTAGCCAGTCTTATTGACAATATATCACTTTTGATAAAACCTCTAATTTCTCTCTTTTTTTTTTAAAGATTTATTTATTTATTATGTATACAGTGTTCGCCTGCATATATCCCTTCAGGCCAGAAGAGGGTACCAGGTCTCATTGTAGATGGTTGTGAGCCACTATGTAGTTGCTGGGAATTGAACTCAGGACCTCTGGAAGAACAGCCAGCCAGTGCTCTTAACCTTTGAGCCATCTCTCCAGCCCAAAACCTCTTATTTCACAAATTGGGCACCTAAATTATAAATCTGGCCTGTTAATGATTAGGAGAATATTTATTTTATGTGTATGCATGTTTTGCCTGGATATATATTTATGTGCAACACTTGTGTTGGGTGCCCTTGGAGGTCAGAAGAGGTGTCAGATACCCTGGGACTAAAGTTATGAATGGTTGTGGGACATCAAAAGAATAAGAGGATGATTACTGTGGGCTCTGATTCAGCCTGTTCTTTATTCCCTTTAGTAAACAAAGATTTATAATACAGTTATCAAAACCTGATTTCTTTGTTACCACCCCCACCCCACCCCCCACACTTGTTTTTGGAGACAAGGTCTCTCTATGTAGACCAGGATGCTTCCTCACAGAAATCCACTTGCCTTTGCCTCCTAAGCACTGAGATTAGAGGTGGATTACTTTTCCAGCATGGAGCATCTTGACTAGTCAAGATTTCGAGTACTGCCTAGGAACTTGATACAGTGAACTGTATTCTTGCCCTTACCAATCCCATATCTTGCCTTCCTCTTTATTGGATGCTTGGGATAATGGAAAAATAAAAGTAAAATTGGCAAAGGCTAATTTTTTTTTTTTTTTTTTTTGAGACCGGGTCTCTATATAGCCCTGGAACACAGAGTTTCCCCAAGTGCTGGGATTAAAGAAATGCACCATCGTGCCCACTAGTTTCTTTTCTGTTCTTTTTTTTTGGAGCTGAGGATGGAACCCAGGGCCTTGCACTTGCTAGGGAAGTGCTCTACCACTGAACTAAATTCCTAACCTATCCACTAATTTCTTACCTTCTGACTTCTGAAGGCATCAGGGAAAATACTTACAAATATAAAATAAATAAAAACTTTTTTTTTAATTTTTTTTTTTTTTCTCTGAGAAAGGATTTTTCTGTGTGGCCCTGGCTGTCCTGGAACTCACTCTATAGACCAGGTTGGCCTCGAGCTCAGGATCCACCTGCCTCTGCCACCTGAGTTCTGGGATTAAAGGTGTGTGCCACCACTGCCCAGCTAAATAAACGGTTATATCTTGTTTCTTTTTTGCTTATGACATGATCTCCTGTTGCCTGCGCTGACCCAGAACTTACTATGTTGCTGAAGATGACCTTGCATTCCTGACCCGCCCACCTTTTACCAAGGACTCCAGTTACAGAAATGTGCCTGGCTTCATTTCTTTTGTTGGAAATAGGCTTATGTAGCCCACGTTGGCCTTGAATTTACTATCCTGTTGCCACTCAGCCTCTTAAACTTTTGAGATTATTAGCATATGCCATTATATTTGGTCCATTTCTTAATTTATTATCTATAAAACTATTGTTTATTTCAGTGAAAGTTGAAATGCTAAATTTTAATTACATGCTTTCTAGAATGAGTGTTAATGTTTTTCTTTTTTTTAATTTCCCACAGCGCATGGATTTAGGAGAATGTACCAAAATCCACGACTTGGCCCTCCGAGCAGATTATGAGATTGCAAGTAAAGAAAGAGACCTGTTTTTTGAATTAGATGTAAGTCTTTTTAGATGTTTGCTTATCCATGCTGCAAAATATCAATCACTATTGAAAGCAGTGTAGTGTTTGTAAGTTACAAAGCAAAATAATTAAATAAGCACTTATTAAGAATCTTAATTTCTGGAACACAGCAGATGCCATCTTAATATTTATGTGATTCACAATTTATTACTGTATTGAATTTCATGTTTGCTTTTTTATGTGTCGCATATAGGTCATGCTGGTAGCACATGCCATGTAGCCAAGGATAATCTTAAACTCCTGATCCTCTTCCCTCTGAGTGCTGTGAGCCATGTGCCATCATGATAGATTTATGTAGTGTTGGCAGTTGAACTCAGAGCCTCATGCATGTTAGGCAAGCATTCTACCAATCCCTGGAAAAATTTTTTTCTTTTAATTTTTATTTTATTTTTTGCCGAATGTCATTTGTTGAAGGAGGGAGGAGGTCTTAAATACAGGCTTACAGCACAGTGGGAGAACCCCAGAGGGCAGAAGTTCCCTATGATGTTTTACAATCTTGCATCTAAGCTGTTAATGCCCATTATGCAGGATACACAGACAAGGACTTTCCCTTAAGCATTCAGGAGGGTGGAACCCAGCAAGGAATTAGCATAGGGAGGATATCAAGGTCAAGGTCAACAGTTACCCAAAACGGGGCCAGGGCCCTACAGGTCCCCCTTTACTATAAAATGAGCTTCTGACTTAGGTTGTGTGGGACATCAGCAGGTCACCTGTGTAGTTCTGGTGCCTGTCCTGGATCTTGCTCTGTAGACCATGCTGGCATGTAACTCACAGAGATCCACCTGGCTCTGCCTCCCTAACGCTGGGATTAAAGGCATGCGCCACCACCGCCCTATTTTTTATAAGACAAAAATGGATACATTGATTATGTTCCTGGCACTTACCAGCCCCTGGGGACCTTTTTGGTTTTTCGAGACAGGGTTTCTCTGTGTAGCTTTGGAGCCTGTCCTGGAACTCACTCTGTAGCCCAGGCTGGCCTGGAACACACAGAGATCCGCCTGGCTCTGTCTCCCAAGTGCTGGGATTAAAGGCGTGCACCACCATCGCCCAGCCCTTTTTTGTGTGTATGTGTACAGTGTTCTGTCTGCATGTTTGCCTGCATGACAGAAGAGGGTATCATCTCATTATAGATGGTTGTGAGCCACCATGTGGTTTTGGGGGATTGAACTCAAGACCTGAAAGAACAGTCAGTGCTTTTAACCTCTGAGCCATCTCTCCAGCCCCCTCCTGAGGTCTTAAGCTCAATTCCCAGCAACCACATGGTAGCTCACAACTACCTGCAATGAGATCTGGTGCCCTCTTCTGACCTGCAGGCAAAACACTGTATATGTAATGAATAAAGAAATGTTGCCGGATGGTGGTGGCGAACGCCTTTAATCCCAGCACTCCGGAGGAAGAGCCAGGCAGATCTCTGTGAGCTCAAGGCCAGCCTGGTCTACAGAGCGAGATCCAGGACAGCCAGGGCTATACAGAAAAACCCTGTCTTGGTGGGAGGGACGGGGGAGATAGTGTTCTGGGCTGGAGAGATGGCTCAGTGGTTAAGAGCACTGATTGCTCTTCCAGAGGTCCTGAATTCAATTCCCAGCAACCACATGGTGACTCACAACAATCTGTAATGAGATCTGGTGCCATCTTTTGGCTTGCAGGGACACATGCAGGCAGAACACTGTGTACATAATAAATAAATAAATCTTTTTAAAAAAAATCTTAAAAAGAAAAAAAATAATTCAAGGAGGCTGACAAATTGTATTAATGGGTAAAGAGGCTTGCTGTCAGGCCTGACAACTTGAGTTCACTCACTAGGGCCTACATTGTGGAAGGAAAAAACTCCCTCAAGATGTCCTTTGACCTCCACGTGTGGCATATGCATTCCCCACAACACACACATACAAACACAAAATTAAAAATATTAGCACGTCAGGGATTCCCACATCTGTGGATGGGAAAAATAGGAGAAATGACAGCCAACAGGGGCATATTTTCCCTTGTAAAATATGTAAATTTTAGAACCTAATGTATAGTTTTGTGACTGAGCATTTTAGAGATTTTGAAAGAGAATAGGGCTGAAGTATTTTCAAGTAAACATAACTGAGTTCATGAGTGTGTTAACTTTTTATAATCATTTTATGTTGTAAATGTATGTGTTATATACCTTTTTTGTTTTTCAGTAGAAAAGTTAGATATAATATTGACGAGTAAAATAATCTTGTAAACTAAGACAAATTATTTGAAATATGTACAGGGATGCTCTTCCTCTCTCTTCTTTTTTTTTTTTTTCTTTTTCTTTTTTTTTTTTTTTTTTTTTCGAGACAGGGTTTCTCTGTGTAGTCCTGGAGCTCGCTCTGTAGACCAAGCTGGCCTCAAACTCACAGAGATCCACCTGGCTCTGCCTTCTGAGTGCTGGGATCAAAGGCATGTACCACCACCGCCTGGCTAATTTTCTTTACATATAAAATTCTTTCTCTTTTGAGATAGTGATAGTATTTCATGTAGCTCAGGCTTGGTGTATAACTAAGTTCTCATCCTCTCCCTCTGCTTCCCACCAGGTTGGATTTATGTCACGGTTGGGATGAAACCCAGGGCTTTGTGCCTAATAGGCAAGCATTCTACTTACTGGGCTATATCCCCAGCAGGTATTGAACAGTTTTTAAATATTTAATGTTTTTATTTTTTAGACAGGATCTCATTGTAGCCCTGGCTGGGCTTGAATTCAGATCCTCTGTCTCTGCTAGGATTTAAGATATGTTTCACCAGGCTCAGGAATTTTTTTTTAGATTGAAATTTACTTATTTTGGGCACTAGAGAGATGATTTAGCAGTGGAAAATGCTGGTTGTTCTAGAGGACCTGGCTTTGTTTCCCAGCACCTGCAGGATGGCTCACAACTCTAATCCCAGGGGAGCTGATGCCCTCTTGGCTGTTGCCAGCACAGTACACATGGGGTATGTAGACATACATACAGGCAAAATATTCATAAAATTTTTTAAATTTAATTTTGAGATAGGGATTATAGGTGTGTGCTTCTATAACAAGCTCCCTGCCACCCTTTTTTTTTTTTTTTTTTCCAGACAGGGTCCTTAACCTAACATAGTACTGGTTCTCTTGGAACTCACTATTGTAGACTAGGCTGCCCTCAGACTCACAAGAGACCTACCTGCCTTTTCCTCCTGAGTGCTGGAATTTAAGACAGCACCACCACTCTTGACTATACCAAGCATTTTAATGAGTGCTGGGGATTGAACTCCGGTCCCCATGCTTGTATGGCAAACACTTAACTAAGCCATCTCTTCAACCTCTTGAAGAATTTAATGAATTTTACTAAGTAGTTCAGTTTTGTATCAAACTCAAAAATCTTGCCTCAGTGAGAGGATTATAGGCATGTACCACCAAGCGAGCTCCTTGAGTAGATATTTTATATGACTTTGGGAACTTACATCTTTTACAAATTTAAAATATTGATATCCTTTGGGTTACTTCTAAAGAATTGTTAAAAATTGCTCAGCATTTTCTAAAGGTAGAGCCTGCTTAGTGGTAGAGCATTTGCATAGCTTGTGGAAGGTCCTGGGTTTGATCTCTAGCACCTTCAGAAGAAAAGAGAAGGGGGCCGGGTGATGGTGGCACACGCCTTTAATCCCAGCACTCAGGAGGCAGAGCCAGGCTGATCTCTGTGAGTTCAAGGCCAGCCTGGGCTACAGAGTGAGTTCTAGGACAGGCGCAAAGCTACACAGAAAAATCCTGTTTTCGGAAAAAAAAAAAAAAGAAAAAGAAAGAAGGAAGGAAGAAAGAAAGATACTTGTGTGTATGTGTGAGAAGTATGAGATTGTGTGACTGTATGAGCTGTTTACTGGGTCATTTGCAATTAGTGAAGAAGTAGTAATAAAACATCTATTTATAGGAGGGATTAAGGACATTGGTGTTGAGAACTGGTTTAATGGGACCGGAAAGATGTCTCAGAGGTTAGAGCACATACTCCTCTTGCAGAAGACTGGAGCTTGGTTCCTATCAATCATGTTGAATGGCTCACAACTGCCTGTAACTCCAGCCCCAGGAGATCTGCTGCCCTCTCTGGACTCCATGGATACCTACACTCATGTGCATATCTACATACAGACATGAACATATATACATAATTAAAAAATAAAAAATAAAAATACTTGTTTACTACTGTGCAGCAGAAGAGCATAGATTTTGGATATGATGTGAGTTGGAGGTGAGCTCAATGGAGTCCTGTTCTCATGTGGGAACTCTAGCTCCACTGTCCACCCTTCTCTCCCAAGTAATATAGACACAAAGCACTTTAAAAAAGATTTATTTTATACATGTGTATGTGTCTGTATGTGGGTATGTGTTTATGAGTTAAGGTGCCTGAGGAAGCCAGAGATACCAGATCCCTTTGGAGTTGGAATTACATACAGTTGTGAGTCACCTGACAAACTTGGGTCTTATTCAAGAACAGCTTTGGTTTTTAACCCCTGGGCCACCTGGCCAGTCCCACAAAGCACTTTTTTGGTTCTCTTTAGTGATAATGTATTTCTAAATTGAGGAATGCATAGCTTGTCTGTAAAAACACATGCCTTCCTTGTCCTCTGGAGACAGCCAAAGCATCAGGTTAATATTACTGCTGCAAACATACCTTGGGTTGATATCCTTTTAGCCATATTTCAGAGTAGTTCCCATGTCCTTGTGATTCTCTATGCTAGCAAAAAAAAAAAAAAAAAAAAAAACAGGTGTGGATGTTGCATTCATAGAAAATTTCTAGAATGATGTCACAGGTAAATTCAAACATTGTATATAAGTTCTCACTATAAATTCTTTCCTTTTTTTTTTTTTGGGTGGTTGTTATTTGATACAAGGTAGCTGTGGCTGTTGTGATTCTCACTAGGTAGACCAGGTTGACCCAACTAACAGGAGGTCTGCATGAGTCTATACCTGGGATTTGAGGAGTATGTTACCATGCCCAGCTTACCTTTAAAAAGTTTTTTTTTTTGTTTTGTTTTGTTTTTTTTGAGACAGGGTTTCTCTGTAGTTTTGGTGCCTGTCCTGGATCTCGCTCTGTAGACCAGGCTGGCCTCAAACTCAATAGAGATCCGCCTGGCTCTGCCTCCTGAGTGCTGGCATTAAAGGTGTGTGCTATTGCCACCTGGCTCCTTCTTTTAAGGGGGGAGGTGGCAGGGTTCATGTAGCCAGGGCTAGTTTCAAACTTTCTTTGTAGCTATGGATTAACTCTGGCTCTGAAGTGCTGAAATTATAGACATTTGCCTGAAGTTATGTAGATATTTTTCTAGAAGAATACTAAAACTGAGAATGTTCACCTATAATCCCAGCACTCAGGAGGCTAAGGCAAGAAGTTTGTTGTTTAAGACTGGCATAGCAAAGTGTAGAGCTAGCAAGGCTATATAATATAGCCCTGTTTTCTGTTCTCCCCAAAACAAAACAACCTAAAATCTAAAGCAAGTTACTTGAATTACTGGTGCTTTCCTTTTTTATTCTTTAAATTTTTTAATGTTTATTTTAATGTGTATGAATATTTCTCTTGCATGTATGTCTGTGGACCACATGCATATCTGGTCTCCACGAAAGCCAGACAAGGGATTGGATCCCCTAGGACTGGAGTTAAATAGTTATGAACTGCCATGAATGTGCTGGAGTTCTCTGGAAGAACAGCCAGTGCTCTTACCCATTTGACTCATCTCTTCAGCGCGTGTGTCTCCCTCTCCCTCCTTTTTTTTTCCTTTAGACAGGGGGTCCCCCCCCCAAGTCAGGGTTTTACTGTGTAGTCCTGGCTGTCCTGGAACTCCCTGTGTAGATCAGGCTGGCCTTGATCCTCCTGCCTCTGCCTCCTGTGTGCTGGGATTAAAGGCATGTGCCATCACCGCCCCGGCACTAGAGAGGGCCTTATATAGCCTAGGCTGACCTATGTATAGTCAGTGCTGGCCTTCACCTTCTCATCTTCCTCACTCTCTCTCTCTGATGCTGGGATTAAAAATGTGTAGCACTATATTTGCTCTAGCTTGCTCCCTCTTCTTTTTTAAAAAACAGTTCTGGGAATTGAACTTAACCTTTACACATACTAGGCAACACTTCATTGGTGAAGTGTTTTTATTCTGTCCTGTGGCCTTGTTTGTAGGCTCGAAGTTTGGAAGGAAGAGAGCATAGAGTTATCTGGATATCATGTAGGGCTGAATATGCCTGGATGCTCTTAGAAACTGGTTTCATAGTACCGCCCTATGAGGCCACTGTAGACATTCTAGTAAGTGATAGATTGTGATTAGAATCTAAGTTTTTGCCAGTGGTGGTAGTGCACACCTTTAATCCCAACACTTGGGGGTCAGAGAAGGAGGCGGATCTCTCATGTTTAAGACCAGTCTGGTTTTACATAGTGAGTTCCAGGACAGACTGGGCTACACAGAGAAACCCTGTCTTGAAAACCCCCCTCCAAAAAAAAAAAAAAAAAAAAAAAAAGGAATCTGAGTTTGGACTCATCTTTTTCTATCATTTAAGTTTGTCATTGCCATTGTAAGTTTGTCACTTCAAACAGTTTGAAAGGAAAGAGAGAGACAGCAAAACAGACTTGCTTTATAAAGAGTATGCCTGTTAGAAGACACTGCATGACCTGGGTTACTTGTTTTGTTGTGTTACCATTCATTTTTTAGATTTTCAGACATTTGAGTCTATTACCATTGGACCAAGAATGCTTAAGATAGAGGCATTTTAGTTGATAAAGGTGTGCCTCTGCATGACTCTTATGAGTGGTTCATTGATCTGCCCTACATGTACAATGCTGAGTTTACAGTAGGGGAGGGGAGCACTGCTTGAGTGGACTTGAGGGCACCTCAGGATCCTGTATTGGGAGCTGTTACTCTGGGTAAGGACAGGTGACCAGCTCTTCATCTTTCCAGAAGTATAGCTTACAGTAGCAAACAACATAGGCCACATCTTCCCTTTCCTTCTCCCCTCCCTCCCTCCCTCCCTGCATCCCTCCCTCCCTCCCTCCCTCCCTTCCTGTTTTGAGATAGAGCCTCACAGTGTATTTATCCTTGGCTGTCCTGGAACTCACTGATCCCCCTGCCCCTGCCTCCCGAGTGCTGGGATTAAAGGTGTTGGCTACCACTTCCGGCTGTCTCTTACCATTTTATAGAGTTCTAGGAATCAGATCCAGTCTTAATACTTCCATGCTGCACTTTCCCTCTACATGTGAGTTGCCTCTCATTATTCTACACTATAGCCTCAAACTGGCCTCTAACTCATAATAATCCTCCTGCCTCAGCCTCCTACTGTGGTCCTATGGAGACCAGACGACAACCTTGGTTGTTTTCTGTAGGTGCTGCCCACTGTGGATTTTTGTTGTTTCTTTTTATTTTTTTAACTTTTATTTGCTAGTATTTATATGAACACACACTTGTGGGAATAGATTTTCTCTTTCCATCATGTGGGTTCCAAAGAACTGAACTCAGATTAATCGGGTTTGGTCTCCAGTGCCCTTACCCACTGAACTGTCTCATATCTTAACAGCCCCTCACATTGTTATTTGAAACATTGTCTCTCAGTGGCCTAGGATGTGCCAGCTAGATCAGATTGGCTGATTGAGAAGCCCAAGAGATCCACCTATCCCTACCTCCCCAGTGCTGGGATTGTAAAGGCTCAATGCCATGTGTAGACTTTTGATGGATTGAACTCAGGTCCTTAATGATTAACTAAGCAATTCCCTCAGTCCACTTTCTTGGTAATGTTACAGAGAATTGGAGATTCTTCTACAAATTTTGGGAATAAGTAAATCAGATAGTCATTTGGTTAAGATGATTAAAATTATGTTAACTATCATAATATATTTGCAAGCAGAGTATCAGCTCATGTTATCACTATAAATGCCAATAGCAGAGATAGGGATTGCAATTTAAATTTTTACTTTTTATTTTTTATGAAACCAGGTCTCAAATGTAACCCTGGTTGGCCTGGAACTCACAGAGATGTCCCTGTCTCTTCCTCCTTAGTGGTGGGATTAGGAGTATGTATCTGCCTAATATACAGAGGGAGTATTTCAGGCCCACAAGGGCCACATAGTTTGACCCTGTCTCAAAACAGAAGAACAAAACATATAGGTGCCAAGACAATGTATTATTGGCGGAGTGTGATGTACACACCTGTCATCCAGCACTTTGGAGGCTAAGGCAAGAAGATTGTGAGTTCAAGGCCAGTCTGGAGTACATAGCAAGTTTTGGGCCAGCCTGGTCTGTGGGACTTTGTCTGGAGAAATAGGTCTGCAGATGTAATTCAGTAGAGTGCCTTCCTAGCGTACTTGTGGTCTTGGGTTTAATCTCCAGCACTAATCTAAAAGCTCAGTGGCAATGTAATCAGTGGCAATAAATCTATGAAATGTTGATCATAGCTCTCTGCTTTTCCCAAACTAGGCGATGGATCACTTAGAGTCCTTCATTGCAGAGTGTGATCGGAGAACTGAACTTGCCAAGAAGCGGTTGGCAGAAACACAGGAGGAGATCAGTGCAGAAGTTTCTGCAAAGGTATAATAAGGGACTGGTATAACTAAGTCTGGATCTTAAGGTGTTCTTTTATTTTCAGAGGAATAAGCCAGGCATGCATCAAGAAGAGAAATACTTGTTTTCTTTGTAACTCCAAGTATTGATGTTTGGTGCTTTTATTTGATTTTCTTTAGGCAGAAAAAGTACATGAGTTGAATGAAGAAATAGGAAAGCTTCTTGCTAAAGCAGAGCAGCTGGGAGCTGAAGGAAATGTGGATGAGTCCCAGAAGATCCTTATGGAAGTGGAGAAAGTTCGTGCAAAGAAAAAAGAAGCAGAGGTTGGTTGTTCATTGTTTTTGAGATACAGTTTCTTTATATAACCCTGGTGGTTCTAGAACTTGGTATGCAGATAAGGCTGTTCTTAAACTCACAAAGATTTTCTTGCTTCTCCCTCCCAGGTGCTAGGATTAAAGGCATGTACCACCGTGTGTGTGTGTGTGTGTGTGTGTGTGTGTGTGTGTGTTTCAACATTTTATTTATTTTCTTTTATGTGTATCAGTGTTTTGCTTACATGTATGTGTACTATGTGCATGTGTTGGTGTCTGGTGCCCCAGGAGACCAAAAGAGGGGATTGATTCCTCTAGAACTGGAATTACCCATGTTTGTAAGCTGCCATATGCGTGCTGGGAACCAAACCCAGGTTCTCTGGAATAGCAGCAATCGTTCTTTTTTCCCCCCATCCCCAAAACAGGATTTCTCTGCATAATAGCCCTAGCAGTTGTCCTTGAATTCACTATGTAGATCCGGTTGGCCTTAAACTCACAGAATCCTCCTGCCTCTGCCTCTTGAGTGCTGGAATTCTAAAGGTGTATGCCACCACTGCCAGGCTTTTTTTTTTTTAAACATGGTCTTACTTTATAATCTTGGCTGACCTGCTGACCTAGAACTCACTGTGTAACTAAAACCAAAGCTGGACTGTAATTTAAAATAACCCTCTACCTCAGCCTCTCAGTTATAGATGTGAGCCATTATGCCCAGTTAAGAAATGTCTTAAGATAAGGGAAGTATTAGTATTCAGGCAAGGTGGGCACACCTATAATCCCAGTCCTTGGTGGGACATGAGGATCAGGATTTCGAAACCAGCCTTGGCTACATAGTGAGTTTGAGGCCAATCTGGGCTACAACAAGAAAAGTGGTGATAGGGAAGTGATACTAACTCAGTAATGTTGACCATTTGTACTAATGTTAAGCCATGTCTATGTTCTTTTTATTCCAAATAATAATCTTCCTGACTGACTGTGTTTACAAGTTCACAGGTAGGTACAGAAATTTCCAAATCGTCCTCTACAGCTCTCCCATTGTCAGCATCCCCCCACCAGAGTGGTATGTTTGTTACCATCAATATACCTAAAGTTAGACATCATTGTTACCCTAAAGCTCACAGCTTACTTTTAGTATTATATGTTCTGTGGACTTGAGAAAGTTAAAAGAACCTGTATCCATCTTTTATATAGCTTACATAGACATTTGTGTAGCATGAATCTTAATTGGTCTTAATAAAAACCAGGAGTCAGATATAGAGGTAAATGCTGAAAGATCAGTGAGACAAAAGAGCAAGTCATAGCCACTACCTCTTACCTTGACAACTCCTCAACCTGAAAGAGAGTGAGCTCCTGTCTCCTCCCGCCTTATATTCCTTTCTCTCTGCTCAGCCATCACTTACTGTTTCTACCTCCCTAGGGCTGGGATCAAAGGTGTGTGCCACCACTACCTGGCTCTTTTTTTCTTTTTAGACTGGATCAATCTTTTGTAGCCCAAGGTGGCCTTCAACTCACAGAAATCCATCTGCCTCTGCTGCCACGGTGCTGGGATTAAAAGTGTATGCTACCACTGTCTGGCCCCTGTGGCTAACTAGTGGCTTAGCTCCATACTCTGATTTTTTCAGGCAAGCTTTATTTGTTAGATCACAAACAAAATATCACCACACATTTGCTCCTAGAACTCCTTTCTGATCCACCTGTTGGGTTGTGTGTGTATGTGTACAGTGTCCATGGAGGCTAGAAGAGGGTGTCAGATCCCCCAGACAGTTGTAAGCTGTCGGGTGGGTGCTTTTAGCTGCTGAACCATCTCTCTAGGCCCTCCTCCTCCCATTGATTTGATGAAGATAGATTCATAAGAGAGACAATATTAGAGAGAGATGACTTTGAGATGGTCTATAGGTAGGTTGGGGGTATCCTGGAAAGCCATAGCTTAGACCTTTGAGAAAGTGAGGTTATTAAAAACAGCAAGTCCAGGGGTGGGGAAGTGATGAGAAAATGGTGTGTATGCGCATGACTGGTGTCTGCTTTACTTTTAGATATTATTGTGCGTCTGATTTTTATTTATAGCTAACCTGCATAGTGCCAGGGTTTTGTTGGGTGTTAAAGCAATGCTCATTGAACCCAGTAGCAGGAGAAGAAGGTGGGGACCATCAGCATTATGCTTTTCTGTTGTTCTCCAAAAGTGACTGGAATTAAAGTTGGCAGCAAAGGTCAGATAGGCAGATCTAATGCCTCATCTCCCCAGTAGACACTTAACCCACTTTTACTTGATAGTGACATCACTGTGTCATCTAGCCTTATTTAATTGCTTAGCTTAAAAGACAAAAGAGATTCATAACACAGCTGAGATGCCTAGATAGAATTACCCTAAAAGACTGCAAACAGTGCTTGGACTGTACCCTGTACAGAAGCACCATGAGTATGACAGATGGAGGTGATTGTATGCCTCAGGTACCTTCTGGTGCCAAGTACTCCCTAGGCTAGAGAGGAGGGATCTCTGCATCCTTCTTGATTACAGGTATACAGGCACAGTATGCCTCAAACCCTGGTAGAGTAGCAGGTACTAGTAGCTCCTCAATGGTTCAGGGATTCAGAGGCAACTGTGGGTTGCTGTTTTTACTGCACTCATTTACACATCATACACACACACACACACACACACACACACACACACACACACACACACACACACAATAACCCCCAATTAAAAGAAAACATGTAAGAAATAATACAGAGAGATCCTGTTGTCCTTTTATAGTCACAAACCCTTCTCTGATCTCTGGTGATTAGGTGTGGTGTACTCAGTGACTCTTCATTTCGATAACTGATTTTAAGAAAATGATACCCATACCATATATTCCAGTATTCAGAGAGTCTGAGACAGGAGGATCTGTCATTCCAGGCCAGCCTAGCCTAAATAATGAGAATATTATTTTTTTTAATATATATAGATGTTTTGCTTACATGTGTTTTTGGATACCATGTGCCTGCAGAGACATGAAGAGGGCATTGAATCTCCTGGGGCTGGATGGTTGTGGGTGCTAGGAATATAACCTGGGTTCTCTGGAAGAGCAGCTAGTGCTCTTAACTACTGAGCCATATGTCTAGCCCTAAAGAGGGTCTATTAAAGTGAGAAATACATGGAGTCTGCTTTAAGGGCAAGAAATTTATTAGGGATGAAACTCACTACAGCATGGGAGATTTATCGTAGGGTCCTAGAAAACTGAGCTATGATCCAAGCTGTTCTTCCACCTTTTCCTATATCAACATCCAAAAACCATGAGGGGAGAGGGTGTGCTTCTTATGTGCATCCCAAGTCTTAGGGGTCTGAGATGCCACGCCCCATGGGCTTGTAATTCAAGGTCATAGGCAGGTGGAGCAGTTAACTGCTGCCTCTCTAGGGACTGTGCTTCAAGGTCATAGAACAGCTACCACTACAGTCTATAGTCTATATTACGCATGTGTATAGTCCAGTAGGACAGGTTGGAGGATCACATCAGTTCATGAGTTCTTTCTGTGAAAGACTATGATGTAGAAGTGTAAGCCAAATAAAACAAACTCTTTACTCCCCAACTTGCTTTTGGTCTTGTTGTTTCATATAGCCATAGTAACCCTAACTAATTAGTAATAGTAACTAAGACAAGATCTTATTCACTGTATTGCTACAGGCTTTATCTACACAAAATATTTACTGAGTTTCTCAGTTCTTGGTGCTGACTTTGGTTGTTTTTTTGTTTTTGTTTTCTTTTTTTTGAGTTAGGGTTTCTCTGTGTGACAGCTCTGGCTGTCCTGGAACTTGCTTTTATACCAGGCTGTCTTCTAACTCACAGAGCTCCACCTGCCTCTGCCTCTGGAGTGCTGGGATTAAAGATAGGCGCAACCAACCGCCCAGCTGGTAACCTTGTTCTTAATACATGATGGCACAGGGGCACATTTACTTGGAAGAATTCCTGGATAATGGTGCATACATTTATGATCTTTCTTGTTTGGTTGGTTTGTTTTTGTTTTTATACAGTGTCTCACTTTGTAGGTCCTGCTGGCCTGGAACTCACAATGTAGACCAGGCTGATTTTGTTCTCACAGAGATCTGCTTACCTCTGCCTCTACCTCCTAAGTGCTCTGATTAACATAAATCAGATCATGTTAGGATTATCATAACCAGCAGTATATGAGACTGTATTTATTTTAGCTTGAATTTCCTAGGGAATGTTTTAAATGTATGAATTAATGGAAGTAGTTACATTGACATTCAAGCCTTCCCTTTCAAAGTGAACAAAGAAGGGAGTAGTAGCCCACACCTTTAATCTCCATGAGTTCCAGCTGTAAGGGCTATGGAAGTGTGATCAGTCTGTAAAAAAATAGGACAGAGGAGTGGTTTCTTCAGTATGGATTTTGCAGCAGTGTTCTGACTGGTGTGCATGTACTAGTAGCAGTATGCCAGGCTTCTTTCCTTTTGTTTGATGTATTTTGCTTTGGGCAGAATGAGAGATTTTTCTTTAAACATTTTAGAGTTTCTGGAGGATGCATATTATGTGTTGGGTACTTTTCTCTTCAAGTGTCAATGATTTGGCCTTTCAGATTATCTTTTAGACCTGCATTAGATATTTATTTCCTGGATATCAGGACACAATTATGACTGCTAGTTTTTGTTTACTATGTGTGTGAGTATATGCATGTGAGTGTAAATGGTTGAGGTAGGCTAGAGACATTGGATCTCCCTTGAGTTAGAATTACTGGAGGTTGTGAACTGCCTGACTTGGGTGCTGGGAATTGAACTCAGGTCTTCTGCATGAGCAGTGTACAATCTTTTTTTTTTTTTCCTCTTTGAGACAGTTTTCTCTGTGTAGCTTTGGAGCCTTTCCTGGAACTCACTCTGAAACCCAGGCTGGCCTTGAACTCACAGAGATCCACCTGCCTCTGCCTCCCAAGTGCTAGGATTAAAGGCGTGCGCCACCACTGCCTGGTGAGCGGTATATTCTTAAGAGCCATCTCTCCAGCCCTATTTTTGTTTGTTTGTTCTTTTTCAAGTTAAAAAATTATTTATATGGGTGTTTTGCCTATATGTATGGACTCATTGCATGTGTTTAGTGCTCCAGAAGAGATCCTGTAACTGGAGTCATAGATGATCGTTAATCCTCATGTGGATGCTGAGGACCAAACCCAGGTCCTCTGAAAGAGGAACAAGTGCTCTTAACTGCTGAGCCATCATCTCTCTCCAGCCCCAGTTTTTGTTCACTTTTGAAGTCTTCTCTTCCCTGCTCATCTCAAAACAGTCATTCTTATGTTTTGAATGTTCCTTGTTGCTTTTGATAAGACTTAAATGTTAGGTTTTGTTAATACTTTTTTTTCTCTCAAAACTGTTTCTCTGTGTAGCTCTGGCTGTCGTAGAACTCAGAAAACTGCCTCCCTCTAAATGTTAGTTCTTTTAAAATAAACAGTGAAATTGAAGTTCTCAACGTACCTAAAGGTGAACAGTCCAGTTTTCAGCATGTAGTCAAATGTGACAGTTCTGAAATGCCTCAGCTTTATCTTTTTATCCCCCCTCCCCCCATAGGAAGAATACAGAAATTCCATGCCTGCATCCAGTTTTCAACAACAAAAACTCCGTGTCTGTGAGGTTTGTTCAGCTTACCTTGGTCTCCATGACAATGACCGACGTCTTGCAGATCACTTCGGGGGCAAGTTACATTTGGGGTTCATTCAGATCCGAGAGAAGCTTGATCAGTTGAGGGTATGTTAATACATTCTTTTGGAGAACCCTTTAGAGTCTTATGTCTTGTCACTTTTAGTTTTTTTCTTTTCTTTTCTTTTTTTTTTTTTCTTTTTCTTTTGGTTTTTTGAGACAGGATTTCTCTGTGTAGCAGCTCTGGCTGCTCTGGAGCTTACTTTGTAGACCAGGCTAGGGATTAAAGGCATGAGCCGCCGCCGCCGCCACCACCACCACCACCACC